TTATTTTTTCATACCCAATCACCACACAGGTTTATTTTATCCACTCACAGTCGCCCCTTCATAACTTTTGTTCACTCACACCCACAAGCTGTCTGTTCCAGAGGTCTTTCCAGGACCTCTTCTGTGCAACAGGAAGAACAAGGGACTCTGGCTAGAAGGTCTTCAAACCTGTTCTTAATGAGTACTTCTCTAGCAACAAATTGGGTTTTGGACAAAGCTTTCATATACTTTAGGAGTCCACTGTCATTATGATGCGATCTGTTGCTTATCAATCCTGCCCACATGAACCTTAGTATGTCTCAGGCAAGGCTGCTGTTCCCTGTTTGCATCTTCTCATGTGGCAAGTACATCTGCCTGGAACATATGCACCTGCATGGGCACCCTCTCTTTCATGATGAGCAACCAGGGAAAGAAATGGCAGGTGTGTTGTGCTGTACCCTTGATGCCATGCTCATTGGGCTGGGTTGCCATGCTCGTTGGGTGCAGGGACCTCTGCCAATGAGTTGTTGTGCTTTGCTCTTAGCTGGGAACATCATTCTTTGTTACCTACACAGACAAGTCTTCTCCTGTTTCACAGAATCACAGAATCACTGAATTTTTTGAGTTGGAAGGGACCTTAAAGATCATTGAGTTCCAACTCCCCTGCATGGGCAGGGAAATCTTCCACTAGAACAGGCTGCTCAGAGCCCCATCCAATCTGCCCTTGAACACCTCCAGGGATGGAGCCCCCACAACATCTCTGGGCAGCCTGTTCCAGCTTTTTACCACCCTTACACTGAAGAATTTACACCTGACCTCTGACCTTCTCACCCCTTTCCTTCACACATCAGCTGTATCAACCTCAGGAAGTCCACAAGTCCCTACACTTCCCAACACCACTGCAGCTCATAGCCAGGCCAAACTCAGCTGCTGAGACCAAGCTGGGGTGACACCTGGCTGTGAGGTTGGTGCAAAACAGGGAACATAAAGTCCATCTGGCCATGCTGCTGCTGAGACCCAAGGAATGATGGAGCCAGCTGAGCATCCCCAGGCATGTAACAGGCCATCTTCCAGCCACATACAAAATGCAGAGGGAAAATCAAGAGGACAGTAAATGTTGCAGTTCTTATGTGCCATCTATAGACCCTGAGCTAACCCCAGAGGGACCTGCCAGCAGCAGAGGTTAGCCAACAGCAGCTCCAGCCACTACTGCTTACATGTGTTGCTGAAGGGAAACCATGTACAATTCTCCATGCATATATATATGTGTGTATGTAATACCTATTCCTATGAGGCATCTTTAACTTAATATCCTGGTAAGGACATCATGCAGCTGGAAGTGGAAGAGGTGTGTGAACCAGCAACTGGTGGGCTGGGACTCATCAGAAGTTATACCTTGCACATCTCCTTCTAAAGCTAGGCCACTGTGCAGTGGTGAACAATGACCCTGGAGAGACAGCAAGCAAGAAAGAGCACAGTGTGGTAAAGACATTTGCAAGGATAGAAGAAGCAAGCTCTGGTCTCCACTTAGAAGTGCTAAGTGGGTAAACACCTAACATGAGCAGCAGGTAAATTCCTCAAAAAGGTGTCTTAACACAGCTATATTCCCTTCCCTCCAATCTCTCAAGTTTCAGCTGCTAAATCTGCTGCTCTATTTGCGGAAGAATACACTAGAATGTTCTGTGGCAGTATGAGATGGAGACAGGATGTAAAAGGAAGGAAAGATTTTTGTGACTAAATGCACCCCAAGGTGGGCATATTGGGGAATCCAGCACTGAAGTGTTATTCTGCTATTTCTTCTAGCTGACATGTTTCATTGTGCATGCCCAAGGAAATACAGGTAAACACAGAACAGCAGCAGTAAGAAACAGCTCTCTTCAAATGAAGGCTCTTATTACCTCAATTTTAAGGTTTCAAGTTTAATTCCAGCTCATGCTACCAAATGGTATTACATAAATATGTTATTGAGTTATACAAAACTCATTTGATCAGTGACTCAGTGCTATTTTCAAGGGAAATAACTTTCCTGAATTTAAAAGAGAGCATTTCTATTACTTCTCCACAGAAATAAAACACTCCACACATGGAAATGAAATAAACTATTTAAGCAAGAGAAAATGCATGACCTTTCCAACATATTTGTACTTCTATATCTCCTTAGAAGCCTTTCTGAAAACATAGCCTAGTATCAACATTCAAGGACTGCATGAAGTACAATTTGTAGGTCCAGTTCTAATAAGAGAGCTTTGGATGTCGCAAGACAGAAAAAAGCAATAAGCTCTCTTTCTAATGGTAGCTTAATCTTCAGGTGAAATTTGGCAGCTTTGGGCCAAAGCACATTACCAAACACTTGCCACAACATCAGAGACTTTGTGATAGTGCACATGGAGCAATACATTTCATCACCAGCTTTGTTTCCATCTTTATGTACTAAAAATACAACACCACAGCAGTTGCTACCATCAGAGATTTCCTTACAGGTGAGGAGGCAAGAATATTATAATAATAAGAGCAGAAAATTTCAAAAGCTGACTCACTGGGCAGGAGGGGAGGAGCATTTCTATGATTTGTTGACCCAATCACTGACCTCCTGACAGCATATGCACTTTTGCAAAAAATCAGAAACTATTAAGGCAGAGCAGGTCAGGGGAAGAAAGAACAAAAAACTTGTTATCAGTTTAGAAAAAAGCAACCATATTCCATTTTGTTTTCTAACTTTAAGTCTTTTAACACACGTTTCACATCAAGTCAACATCAAGTCCAACCATTAAACTAGCTTTACCAAGTCCACTGTGAAGAATTTTTTCCTAATATACAGCCTAAACCTCCTCCCTGGTCCTATAAACTATACAAACTGCAAAGGAGTGCATGGATGTCTCATTAACTGACAGAAGCAGCTGAGAAAGGCACACGCTTCCAAAACATTACTGCCTGCCTTTGGATATGCATGTTAAATTTTATATACTAAATACAGAATAAATGGCCAAAACAATAACCTTGCATTTGATAACTCTTGCTCTTGAATGCTCTCACATGTTAGTTACCAAATAACCATTCCTTTTTGATGTTTAAGACATTGAAAGCACTTCTACTGCTTTGGCATTAAGAAAATATTTCCCATAGTCATTTGTTACACATTAGCAGTTACAATCAGTTTTTAAATGCCGGCAGTCTAGGCTTTAAAAACACAGGATATTTCAAATATCAACAATTTACTTTGAATAGAAACAAATAAACCAGTTGCTAGTGTCTGTAATTATTTGTTTTCTTTTGCTTAGATGGCTTGTAGTCTGAGTCCATTAGAGCAGGCAATCATTCTTTTCCCTAAAGAATTCTCTTCCTGCTTAACTCTAATAAGAGTCATAGTTTAACTCTGCACTTGAAAGAAATCCCCACAAAATTACTATTGCATCTGAGCCTTCTGGGACAAATCTGGCTGCAAACATTACCAGTCCTGTTCAGTAAACATTTCCTGCTCTTTTATCAACAGTAAATTATCTGTTTCCTCCTTTGTACAGCTTCCCCTTCCTTTTGCGTTTGATGATCTCATCAATACAGACAATATGTATTACTTTAAATAGTAAAGAATCCTATTTTTTTTTTCTTGCTTTCCTCTCTTGCTGAATTTTTAAATGTGTATACGTTGTGCTTTAAAAGTGATCTTAATTCTTAGCTGTATCTTGTGACTTAATGTGCATCACTGAGTAGTGCTATGCTTTTCTGCTATGTTATTAATATGCCTGTCCATCAACCAACCAACCATTACTCCTAGTGGCATAAATACAGTAAAGAATTCCCTTTTGCATCTCAATAATACCAACACAGTACAAAAAAAAAAACCCTGAATATTAATTTCAATCTCCCCTTCCATATGTTATGCAGGATCTCTTTGCATTCTGGCAAGCAGGTCAGCACTTGCAAATTCAGCCTCCTAAATTGGCTGCCTCCATATCAGTGTATGTATCCAGACACCTTACAGAGTCAGAATAAGAAATAATGTCAGCACTAGATGGAGCTCCTGTACAACAACATATCAGGAGAAGTTTTAGGGGCTTCTGTGCATGTGGAAAGCAAGGATGGATGCACAGTACTGGCATAGAAGGGGGGATGCTCTCAGGGTGGTCATGATCACTGCAACATCTGCATTTCCATGCCCACGGTGTCCTGCTCCTCTACTTTCCAAATCGGCAGGAAGGTCCCTGGGACCTTCCTTCATGTTGAGCATCTATCTGCACAGATGCAAAACATAGCATGTAGTTTCAGGATTTGTCTGCATACGGGATACAGCACTAAGTAAGCTGAGAGGTGAAATTACAGTGCATTATCATCTGCCAGCCAGTGAGCTGAGTTTCCACCAGAGCACACCTGGCTAACTTCCCTCCTATGGGCCTCTGTTTTTTCATTGGATGTAATTGCTCATTTTTAATAATAAAGGTGTATTTCTGGAGATTTAAAAATTATTCCATAATGTGCTTTTTTCAGCAGTTGCCATTCCTAGAGACGGAACACATGACAAATATTTACTCCTCTGAGTCAAGTTTCTGTCATAAGGTCTAGTGGTCAAATGGTTCTTACAGTAACTAGCTATTGGTAGGTCAATATGTAGCCATATTTGATAATAGGGGTGCAGAGCCAAAATACGTAGACCAGCCTTTACACTGCTGCTGGGACAAGAGTTTTTTGTGCAGTTTTACATACCAGCAACCTCACATGCTGTGGAGGTAGGATGAAAGACTGGAGAACACTGTTCTGTATCTATTCAAGATTACTTTGCTGGCTAAAGGATGTGCAGTGAGAAAAAGTGGTATTTTCCATTATTTAAGCCATCAGAAGGATCTCAGAATAGGAGATATTTTGCTAATCAGTTAGGAAATTGTAACCGATGCAAGCAGAAATATTTTGCAGGCAATTTAATCCAACCATTGACATTAATCTGCAACAACAGATAATATGGTGGAAATTGCAGTCAAGAATATAGTAGTGGATGTACAAGGAGGTATGACATACTGGGACAAGCCAGCATGGCCATCCCTCACTCATCCATTAGAGGTCCTGACAATGCTATGCAGAAGAGTGATACATTTGATAAAGCCTACTTGGATTCGCAAACAGTTTTGACTAGCCCAGAGGCTCTTAAGAACAGTAAGCTACCTTGCAATAATAGAGATCTTCATGTGGATAAATAATTTATCAGAGGCAGCAAACAAAGAACAGGAGAAAACAATTCGTTTTCTCAGTGGAAATTGTGGCCAGCAAAGTCCCCTATGTATCAGTTCTAAGCTCTTTGTTATTCATTACATTAATAAATGATCTGGAAAAGATGGTAAAGAGTGAAGTTTGCTGATTATACTACCGTGAATAACTCAAAATCAACAAAAGCTGACTGTGAAGTACTGCAGAACAACTGCATGAATCTGAGTCACAGAGCGGATGAAATGCAATACTGATGTAAACTGCCATATGTGGCAAAAAAAGTCCTAGCCTTAAATACACAGTGATGGTTTCTGACTGACTTATTGCTCTGCAAAGAGAGTTATGATAGATAGCTGTATGCAAACCACTTCCACCAAGCAGCAATGCTCAGCAGCATTTAGAAAAGCAAACATCACGGCTTATTAGAAAAGGAAAACAAAGGAGAGAGGAGAATGCAAAACTGTGGATGAGGAAGATTATTTACTGTTTCTGATAATAAAAGAACTGGGTTTTCAAATTAAATTATAATGCTGCAGACTCATATTTAAGAAACAGGAGAAAGTACTCTTCTTTATATAGTACATAGCAAGTAGAACTCCTTGGCATATTATACTGTGCATAAAAAAATTTTCAGGGTTCCTGAGAGCAAGAAGCCTGGGAATTTAATCCAGGAAGACCTACTAGTCCCAACAGAACTACTTCAGGGATTAAGTCCTTACACCACAAATCACAGGCTACTGGGATTACATACTGAAAAATAATATAATTGGATGGTGTAGTTATCCTAAATTTAATTTTAGCATTCTAAAAGCTGAGCAAAACTTCTGAACGGCAAAAATTTAGTATGGATATACACACCCCTTTGGAAGGCACAATTATTATTTAGTTACTAGAATGATAAGACAAAATAATTACAGCACAGTAAGAGGACATTACCTGTTTATATCTACTATCAATATTTATTTCCAAAAGGTCTGAGTGCCCTCTACCCCAGGAAAGGTATCATCACTTGTAAAACTGGTAAAACTCGTTCTCATCCTTAAATTCCTTGTTAAATGCCCTTTGTTGCATTGACCAACAGGGAAAAATTGTTATATGGAGCAAACCAGATGGTGGCATGTCTATCACTCTTATCACAAAGAATATTAAGCTATGGCTTTGTCTTGCCTCATAACCTGCTTTCTACCCATTAGAAAAAGTCCATTTAAATCCTGACTGGCGCATCTGTCTGGAAGCCCTTCATCCTACTCCTCTGATGCAGTTGTTGCCTCTTACAAGGATATTAAACAGAAACACACTTTCAGCTTTAAGTACACACAGTAAAGCAATCCTTGACATCCTCACACAGCCGTTGCTGGACCTCAGCCCTCTTGCACTGCCACACACTCTTACTCTGAAAACTGAGCAAAATTGGGTCGTGTGAATAAATTAAAGCAAGCTGCTGCCATTTGTTACAAGGACTTGCATGGAGATGAGCTGCTTTGTGCATTATAGCCAGTGTGCAGAACATATACAAAATACACACCCAAATACCAGGTAGATACTCCACCCTCTTGTAAAGAGGCAGAAGCTGTAACTCTTCATTTCTACTATATTACTTCCCATCCTAGAACTGTTTCTAATTAGTACCTGCTGAACTCCCACAGAGGCAGAGGGATGGCCATCAGCCTCCTGTGCAGGGCTTACTCTGCTGATGGAGGCAGAGGGGAAGGAAGGTGGTGCTTCTGACCACCACACGAGACCCCTGCCCCATGATACTCTGCCTTGTGCTGCCTGCTGTGCAGTGCACGAGCAGCTTGTGTAATTTCATTTGGGTGATTAGATGTGTCAGTGTAAAAAGGTCCCCTGGTAACTTCATAAATAGCCTGAACACAGAACAGAAATTACCCATGAACTGTAAATTCGGCAGACAACAGTGCTTTACTGAGCATACACACATAAGAATTAGGATGAGGAAGTTGATGAAGCCTTCTACAGGCAGCTGCAAGCAGCTTTGCAATTACAGGCCCTGGCTCTCACAGGGGATTTTAACTACCCAGACATTTACTGGAAGGCCTACTCAGCCAGCCATTCACAGTCCAGAAGGTTCCTCTAGTGCATTGATGATAACTTCCTGATGCAAATAGTGGATGAGCCAACTAGGAGGGGAGAACTGCTGGATCTTATACTCACTAACAAGGAGAGTCTGGATGAAGCAGTGAAGATTGAGGGCACCCTTGGCTGCACCTACCATGAGATGGTGGAATTCAGGATCTTGTCCAGAAGGAGCAGAATACTAAGCAGCATGATGACCCTGGACTTCAGCAGGGCCAACCTTGTCCTTTTCAAGCAATTGCCAGGAGAAATCCCATGGGACAGGGTACTAGAAGTTAAAGGGGCCCAAGATAGTTGGTTAACATTCAAGGACCACTTCTATCAAGCTCAAGATCAGAGCATCCCAACAGGTAAGAAATCAAGAAAGGGACGCAGGAGACCCACGTGGTTAAAGAGGGAACTGCTGGGAAAACTCAAGCAGAAGAAGAGCATTTACAGATCATGGAAGGAGAGGCTGGCCACCTGGGAGGAATATAAGACCGTTGTCAGAGGACGTAGGGAGGCAACTAGGAAAGCTAAGGCCTCCTTGGAACTCAACCTCGCAAGACAGGCCAAGGACAACAGAAAGGGCTTCTTCAAATACATTGCAAATGAAACTAACACTAGAGGCAATATAGGCCCATTGCTGAATTAGAATGGGTGCCCTGGTGACGGAGGATACAAAGAAGGAAGAGGTACTGATGCCTTCTTTGTCTCTGTCTTTACTGCTGGAGACTGTCCTCAGAAGCCCCAGGCCCCTGACACCCCAGCAGAAGTCAGGAAACGGGGTTGTTTGCTTTGGTTGATGAGGATTGAGTTAGGGATCCACTCAGCAACCTGGACATCCATAAATCCACGCGTCCTGATGGGATGCACGCACAGGTACTGAGAGAGCTGGTGGAAGTCATTGCTAGGCCACTCTCCACCATCTTGGGTAAGTCGTGGGGAACAGGAGTGGTGCCTGAGGACTGGAGGAAAGCAAATATCACACCAGTCTACAAAAAGGGCAAGAAGGAGGATCTGAGCAACTATAGATCAGTCAGCCTCACCTCCATCCCTGGAAAGGTGATGCACCAACTTATTCCCGGTGCTGTCTCTAGGCATATCACAGATAAGAGGGTCATTAGGAGCAGTCAACATGGTTTTACCAAGGGGAAGTCGTGTATAAGCAACCCAATAGCTTTTTATGAGGACACAATGAGGTGGATAGATGATTGTAAAGCAGTGGATATTGTTTATCTTGATTTAAGTAAAGCATTTGACACTTTCTCCTACAGCATCCTGACAGCTAAACTGAGGAAGTGTGGTCGGTATGATAGGACAAGGGACAACAGGTGCAAACTGGAGCATAGGGAGTTCTACGTAAACATGAGGAAAACTTTTTTCACTGTGAGGGTGACAGAACAGTGGAACAGGCTTCCCAGAGAGGTTGTGTGGTCTCCTTCTCCATATACATTCAAAACCTATCTAAACACGTTCCTGTGTGACCTATTGTAGGGGATCCTTCTCTGGCAGGGGCATTGGACTAGATGATCTTTTGAGGTCCCTTCCAGCCCCTAACATCCTGTGATTCTGTGCGAATTAAGTCTTACACAGACTCAATCGTATTCAACAATTGTGTGTTCTGAAATGTTCATAAGGACAAGTTAAGCAGGATTATCTTTGTTTTTATAAAATTCATACCACTTCTTATCTCATACCAGTCTTGCCAGATGTTAGTGTGTTATTTCAGTAGTATCTGCGGTCTGTACTAGACTCAAAACAACACAACTATCATGCAAAAAAATGCCACATGTATGAATTAACTAATGGCTTTGAATCTTATAAATTGTTAAAAAGTCCCAATCTAAGCAGTTTTACATTGATACTGATGTTAGAAGATAATCAAACTGTTCCTTATGAAAACTTTTAACAGTCAAATTTGCTTTTTTCTGCCCTTTTTTCCTGATAATCACTGGATCCTGAACAAATTTCTATTGTTAGAAATCTCTATTAAAAAATTCTGCATAAAACAGTATCCATCTTTTGACTCATCTGAAACCTGTTCACTTTGTTCCCTTCCCATAGTTATCTACTATTTCTGCTCTGGATTGCATTAGTGTAACCATTAGAAAAAACAGAACGGGGGGGGGGAAAAATGTTAAATAGAATAGAAAATACAATTGAAAAACAACACAAAAAATAAGCACATAGTGAATGTCAGCCTCTAATAAAACAGTACTGAATATCCATAAAGATTTACAGCTTACCCCAGTGAGTCACCAGCCTTCTGCACTGAGGCTGCTATATTTTCATAAGGAACTGCAGAAGTTTGTATCTGAACATGAAATGAGTTTGGATGCCCAACACAGAATCATGGAAAAGAGCTTGAAGATCATCAAGTCCAACTGTTAACCTAACACACTCCTCCACCACTAAACTATGTCCCTACACATCTTTTAAATACCTCCAGGGATGGTGACTTTACCGCTTCCCTGGGCAGCCTGTTCCAGTGCCTGACAACTCTTTCAGTAAATATTTTTTTCCTATCATCCAATCTAAACCTCCCCTGGCAAACCTGAGGCTGTTTCCTCTTGTTCTATGGCTTGTAACTTGGGAGAAGGGACCAACATCCACCTTGCTACAATCTCCTTTCAGCCTCCTTTTCTCCAGGCTGAACAACCATAGCTCCTTCAGCATCTCCTCACAGGACTTGCTCTCCAACCCCTTCATCAGCTTTGTTGCCCATCTTTGGACTCATTCCTGCACCTTGATGTCTTTCTTGCAGTGATGGGCCCAAAACTGAATGTAGTACTCAAGCTGTGGCCTCACCAGTGCCAAGCACAGGGTCACAATCACTTCACTAGTCCTGCTGGCCACACTATTTCTGAGCCAGGATGCTGTTGGTCACCTTGGCACACTGCTGGCTCATATTAAGCTGGCTGTTGACCAACACACCCAGATCCTTTTCCTCTGCACAGCTTTCCAGCCACTCTTCCCCCAGCATGTAGTGTTGCACAAGGTTGTGACCAAAGTGCAGGACCCAGCACCTGGCCTTGTTGAATCTCATACAATTGGCCTTGGCCCATCAATCCAACCTGTCTGTGAAATACGTTTAAGAAACCACTAACAGGAGAAGTAACGTAATTGTACCACAGTTTGGGAAGAGTTGTTGGCTGAAATAGCCCAGAGCAACTGAGCCTGATGCTGACAGCTGGCATGAGGAACCCTCAGCTGAAGTATGTGAAGCCTGGAATGGTTTCAACACAGCAGTTTTAAAAGATAGTGCCCTTAATTAGGGGCATTACCGTCTGAACCACCAACAGATGGAAGGGGAGTCAAGGCACCACTGGGGAACCTGAGGCTTCGCCCTTGTGCAGGGTGAATGCTCACTCATCTGCCTCCCCTGATGTGTGCTGGGCCAGCACAGCATGGGGAGAGAGAGGAGTAATCAGGTCCTAAAACACTCAGGAGTGAAAGAACAGGGACACTTCACAGAACATCAATGGTGGGATGTCAGGGGGATGAAGAAGCTACCTGGAGTTGTGATCCCCTGCATCCATTGTCTACGGATATCAAATGTTCCTCCTGTCTGTATCAATGATGGAAAAAATTTACAGCAGCCACAGGTCATTTTGACTTAGTATTAAAAAAAACCAAACAACAAAACAACCCACAACAAGATCAAACCCATAAACCTTCCAGTAATAGGAGGCATTAGGATTATTTTAAGCAGTGAATCATATTAGCTGTGAAATCAACAGGAACAATAAGTGGTCTGTGAATCAATGGCAGTTGTAGTTGAGTAACTTATTGGACATTTACTGAATCTCCAGATTCAGAAACAGTATCTCAGCTGGCATTAATACCTAGAAAAATACAAATATAAATAGGATAACTCCAGCTTTCAAAGAAACTTATTTTTCCACATCAGCACGCTTTGCTAACAAACTGCTGCAAATTATTTTCTCATCCTGATAGACATTTCTATGCAGAAAAGTGGCAGACACTAACAGAACACAAAACAAAGCACCTGATTACTTCAAGTGTGAAGCACTGGTCAAAGATGAGAAAAAGGGGGAAAAATCATGTTGTTAGTTATCATCTACTATTGTGTCATTATTTGGAACTATGCCAATGGTCCTGCATCCCTTTTATCACTGAAAAGCCTGTGAGTATTCAGTTGCTTACTAGACTGGAAGATGTAGCATTCTGCTTAAATGCTTCCTAAAAAGAACTGGACATAACAAATGAATGTCATCATTAAGGAAAAAAAGCCACTGGTTATATAACTTGGATTGAAATAGCTTGAGATCATATCTGCTCTCTGGTACACATTAGGGATGTTTTACATTTTTTCAAAAACTTATCAAATTCTGTTCAGGTGTAGAAGAGAAGACGGTCTTAAGAGTTATTAAATATTATTATTCACATAGTTAAATAGAATATGGTTTGATAGCCTTTCTCAAACAAAGCCTATTGCTCTCTAATATGCTTTTTTTGATTGAATATTGCTTATTTCCAGGGCTCTTGTTTACTTCATTTTACCCACTGATGGACCAGAAATACAGCTACATTTCAATAGTGTGTTTTTTCACGTGTGTGTGTGGCCTGACTACCAGCACAGCTGGTTTCTATTTTTCCTAAAATAATAGAAAACTGATATCAGGCAGTGTTGCCTGGGTTAATACTGTGACTCAGGATTAGGGAAAAGGGCTGCAAACGTAAATCATCGAACTTAACTCTGACAGAAATGCTGTTCCATCATCTCAAACACAGCTTATAACCATGACCTTTTAGACTCAATTTACAGCCAGGATAACTTTCCAATAAATCTGATGTGGTGTCTGCCTTTAAGTTCCCATTCCAGTTCTCTATGTAAAATTATGTTATTTGTGCACTTCCATGCATAAAGTCTTTGGCATTCTGCAACATGTGGCTGTAATGTAGAGTGATGTCACAGACCCAAAAGCATAAAGCTGAACTGCAAGTGTGGCTGCTCAATATTGAAGCATCAAACATAGGCAGAAGTTTGTAGTAATAGAATCATCAACTGGTTTGGGTTCAAAGGAACCTTAAAGATCATCTAGATCCAGCCCCCCTGGATGGGCAGAGACACCTCCCACTAGACCAGGTTGCTCAGAGAGCCCCAGCCAACCTGGCCTTGAACACTTCCAGGGAAGGGGACTACCAGCACAGCTGGTTTCTATTTTTCCTAAAATAATAGAAAACTGATATCAGGCAGTGTTGCCTGGGTTAATACTGTGACTCAGGATTAGGGAAAAGGGCTGCAAACGTAAATCATCGAACTTAACTCTGACAGAAATGCTGTTCCATCATCTCAAACACAGCTTATAACCATGACCTTTTAGACTCAATTTACAGCCAGGAT